AGACCACTCAACAAACCTGTTCTGCGTATTCCTTGGCATATTGTTGGGCTCTGTTGAAAATCAGCTTCCTGTTTGCAGCATTTTTCTCCTTGAGGACAGCAAGCTCCTGCTTCTTGGCCAAAGCCCATTCCTCATTCCTCTTCTGTTTCTTTAGAACAGACTCAGGAACAATTACTCCTCCCTTATCAGCCATTTCTATAACAAATTAATTAGAAGAAAATTTGAACATTTTAGAGCAAACACTATCGAAAATCAGGATAAAAAAAAAAGACAAATTCAGTAAATTTCATCAATGCCTGAGATCCCTCCATGGGCACAACATCAGATGCAAAATCTCATTCAAAACATCAATAGAAATTGCAGAGGAAAGGGAGAAACTGCGAGTTTCAAACTCAAAGCATCCAGATCAAACATAAAATTACAGACGCTAAAATTGAACATTTTAGTGTAAAGAGGTAAGAATATCAGGAAAAAAAAAGACAAATCTGCAAACTTCACCAATGCTTGAGATCACCTCCATGGGCACATAAGCTGCAAATCTCATTCAAAACACAATAAAATTTGCAGAAAATTTGGCAAAATGCGTGTTCAAACACTTAACATCCAGATCAAACATACAATTACTAAGGTACAGTCAAATGCAGGTTAAAACGAACCTATTACTGAGGCTAAAGACGGAAAAGAAGATGAAATGAGCTTACGGCGTCGGTTGCTAGGTTATGTCGCCGCGGCTGGTCTTTTCTGAAGTCTGTACTCAGGCACAAGTGAAGAAAGGAGCTAGGGTTTTGTAGGGTTTCAGGAAGGAAGATATCTAACGGCGCTGGTTCGATTTAATGAATGTGAAATCTCGTCCGTTGATATGCTCCGTGTTTTATTAATTTTATCTTTTCGACACTACAGTGTGGGCTTATTAAAATTAAACCCCCATCAAATTAGTTTTTAAAAAGTCTACTACTTGTATTAAATAAATTGAATATTTCATTAGTTTTTAAGACTTTGTAAAAATTTAAATGGATAACAAGAGTTCTAAAAATTTTAAATTTTCAAATTAAATACATTATAATTCTTTATTGGAGTGAAAACTGAAAATTTGGATTCCACTTAAATTATATACAAAGACAGCGAGATGTTGGAACTAATATTGTTTCATTCTATTTCTACCTTAGTTTGATACAAGTTCAATGATAAAATTATTAAATAAAATACGAGGCCATATTTTTCTAATAATGAATTAATGATGTAAAATATTGAGGAATTACATTAGTATAAAATTGTAGATTTACTTATTTATATTAGTGACTTTTCTAATTAAAATAGAAAAACAAGTTGATTGATTTTCTATGTTTAAATTAAAGATCGTTGGATTTCTGAATGTTTACTTTGTAATCCTCAATTAGTTTTCTAACATTTCACAAAATTGATTTGATTTTGTTACATAAAATTATATTGTTTATTATTTTATACTCTTACGGTGGATTTATATACGAGTTTCAATCAATCGGCAAGTATTTAAAAAAAAAAAAAAAATAGTTACTGGCCTAAAACGTAACCAAAAGAAAATTACACATTTCACCTACAAGTTCCATTTTATTCATACATTCACTAAGTGTTAAGTGATAGTTTCCCTATGAATGATTAATTCAAAATTTATTTTTGTCATTGATTTCTAAATTGCATCGTCTTTTAGTTTTGAGTGTTGACAATGATTTATATGTTTGATTATGAATGTTGTATGTTGCAAACGTTTTCAAAAATGAAAAATGATATAGGTACATAATCTGATAATCATAATCATGTACATAGAGGTGTATATAACACTCACATGGAGTGAATCCTACCAAAAATAAAAATAAAAAGTCAAGTGGACTCCACTCCATGTGAGTGTTATGTACATCTCTATGTACATTTATTATGTACTTGTAGCATTGTTCTTCAAAAATTCCAGTAAACATGTAAAAAGACTATTGTTTTTGACAACCTCACGACTGAAATAATGAAATCACGATTTACGTCATTATCTAGCCAAGCTTAATTTGTTTAATTGGTGCTCGACCTCGACTAGCCAAGCTCATTAAGTCTTGATTCCACTTGACAATATTACACAAATGCTCGACTGGCTCGAGATCAACTCAAATTCCATCAGTGGCTCGAGATCGGCTCAAATTTAAGGAGAATATTTCAAGACTTCAGGCCAAATTTTTTAACTTGAGTTGGGGGCATTTAGTTAATCACACAAATACTCGATCTGGTCATCGAGCTTACAAAATACAAGCTGAGTCCCACCGATATTTCCTTCGATATTTGAAAAACTAAAGACAGAGACAATGCAAACATAGTAATTTCAGGATTTTTTGCATGTGTGTAAATATTGGGCAAACGTGTGAAAATGATGTGATGAATAAAGAAAGACAAAAGTTCAATTACATGTCGACCAACATGATATACATCATCAACGACATAAGCGCCTCACAATTCACATTGTATCGATCGGAATTGAAAACCGGCATCTTGTGGCCGGACAAACAAATCTCCTACTGAACGCATTCCACAAGTCTACAATTTTTGTAATTTAGAGAAGGAAAAATATAAAAATAAAATAAAATAAAATGATACCTGTAATGATCATGGAGAAGGGACTATAGGATTGTGGGCTTCGATATCCACGTGCCTAATGCCCGGGACTATTTCTTGAATCTCTTTTTCAAGCCGATCGACTTCACTCCCGAGAGCTGTGACCACCTCCTCACCTGCCATAGAACATCACCACTTGATTTTGAATAATTGCTTTCATGCTTAAGTTCGAGAAATAGCATCGAGTTTTTATCAAATAACAACAATATTACATTGTTATTTGTTGTTGTA